ATAATTCTCAATATATATATATATATATATATATATATATATATATATATATATATATATATATATATATATATATATATGAAAGTAGATGCGCTTTCAAAAAACTGTTTATTCAGCCGACGTTTCATCGGGAGCCCCATCTTTTTCAAGGCATAATAATAGTTACACATTTTCCGTGTCATAGCTTCTCGAGGCAGAAGCGAAGGGGACAGAAAGAAAGGGGGTGGTAAGAAACGTTAGTAACTAAGAAAAATCAGAAATATAGGATAAGAAGCAAGACAGACATGACGGGATTAGGAAGAGGCAGTATCTCAAAAGAGCAAGGCCAACGTAAACGAACAATGCCATCATTGTCAACGATACCTCTCACGCACCCACCCTTCCCCCAAGTGGACAGTGTGACGCCCGTTTTCGTATTCCACCTTCTGATGCAATCCACTGGCGGTTTGTCCACCTTTGAAATTTTATGACAAATCGGCGGGGAGATCCTAAGCGCTTCGAGCGCATGATAGTGGCGTTGGAAGATATTAAAAAGCCGGCAATTGTGGCACCACCAGCGATATTCATTATATGAATTGGCTGCTGTCACTGAAGGGAAAGGAAAGGCGTGTTAAAAAGTAAAAAAGAAAAAAAACGTACGACGTTCGGGAACACTTATCTGTGCATTCTGGCTGTGCTTGAAGCGGCAAACCATTTCTATATTGTCAGATGCATACGCTAAAATGCATACACTTTGTTAGGGGGTAGCATTATTGTCGTAAGGGGAGGCTAGGGGCAGAGGACTGATTAGATTGAAGTATTTGCGTGTTTTAGTGATCACAACGCTGACAGAGTGTCTGGGTGTTCCTTGATTACGTTTTCACTGTGTTGAATTTGTAAATAAAGCAAGATTTCCATTGTTCCCATTCTCTGTTTGTTCGAAAATTGCTTTCCAATCTCGATGTCATCAAAGCTATGGTCTTTTAATGTGCGGTGTTTTGAAAGTGCAATGTCTGGCAGGGAACGTACATGTGCCTGATGGTTGTTGAATCTAATTATAAACGCAGTATCTGTCTGGCCCACCTGTTGCATACTATAAGCTTTCTAATGCTTCCATGGGGGCCTACTGGAAGGAGGTAACACTCGAATTATGGTATTTTTCGCATGGGTGTTGGGGCGTCATTCTGCATATACACCCTCACAACCTTTTTGCTGTTTGTATTACAAGACTACACTGTATTTGTGTTTAGGGTGTAATCTAGCTGTTACACACCCCTATCCGTAAGGCCACTTCGGTGTACACTTGCTTTTACACCGTCATACCCTTTGACCCCTTGGGTGTACATTAGCTTTTACACTCTCACACCCTTAAGACTATTTGGGTGTACATTTGCTTTTACACTCTCACACCCTTAAGGCCTTTTGAGTGTACGAATGCTTTTGCACCCCAAAAATGTTCAAATCCTAGAGAGTAAATTTGAAAATTCACCCATTGTATAAGTGTAGTCCTGCTTCTTACACCCATTTTGTGGGGTGTATAGGTGTGAGCTATAGACACCATATTACACCTACATGGGTTTAATTTGGTTTACAGTGTATATACCCCACATTCCAGAAGGTATATTACGTTGTTTGAGTCATAATCTAGTGCACCACTTATCACGTGCTTAAAATCTGAGTGGGTGCTTTTCGCCACTGTCGTTGTCTGAATGTGTTTGCATACTTTGCATCTGATTTTTACGCAAGGGCGACACCTTGTTTGAGGTGTCATGTCTATCTTAGAATTTATTAAATGATCCTTTATACTTTTCGGCCGCCTGTATACCACACAAGAAAGAGAAGTGAAAATTTTGTATCGTCGCACGCTCTGTTCCAATGTGTTAAAAGTGCTTTTTAGGGCCTTGTTTATATTCAGTGGGTTGCTCGTGAAAGTTAATAGCAAATTGTTGTTGCGATACTGGTCGCCATCTTTCTGGTGGTTTAGAAAAGTCTGGTGGTCCAGATTTTTCGCTTTTTTGCTGGCGTCATCGATGATAGCTGGCGGGTATTCTTGATGAAGGAGTACTTCGCGCATATGTGTGCTGTTTTTATGGAAGTCCTCGGTGCGGTAGCTGATTCGTCGGAATATGTGTGCTTGGGAATAGGGAATGCTGTTCTTGCAGTGTTGCGGGTGGCAGATTTTGAAGTGCAGGTATTGTTGCCTGTCTGTAGGTTTTCTGTATATGCTAGTTACCACCGCACCATCGTCCCTTCGAGTAAGTACATCAAGGAAGCTTATTTCAGTGTTAGAGTATAGGAGTGTGTAAAATAAATGCTGGGGTACACTTCGTTAAATGCCTGTATGAATTTGAGCAATTCGTTTTTCGAATGTGTCTAAATTATGGATATATTGTCTAAGTACCCTTTATATTATAAAGGTTCGATATCACAAGATGAAAGAAAAATGGACTCTATATGGTGCATGAATAGGTTAGCTTAGTTTGGGGCCATTCTTCTACCTATTGCCGTGCCACTGATTTGAAGGTATAGTACCAATTGTTAAATTCAAAGCTGTTCAATTCAAGTACAAGTCTCGTTAAGATTTCAATTACTTTTTTGCTTGATGTGCGACAGGGTTGTGGGTGCCATACAATTCAACAAGTGCCATTACACCATCATCATGTGGGATATCTGTGTAGAGTGAACTAACATCCAATGTTACGAGGAATGCTCTCTCTGGAATTTTTACGTCTGATATTTACAGAAATTGGTTCTGTTAACGTTCCCGTGCCTGATATATTGGGTCTGCTGCTAGGGTTTCCCTCTTCATGGGTCTTCGGCAGCATCTCAAAACGACAAGGCGCCGAATGCACCGTAATAAGCGTCTTTTGAAGCTTTGAATCAAAAGCGCCTTCGCGTGTGAGATCCAACAGGGTTGTTACAATGATCTTTTTGTTCTCGGTGGTAGGGTCTGAGTCCAGGTGTTTGTAGAATTGTTTGTCATTTAGTTGTGACCTGCCTTTCTTATTGTACCCCGATCTATTCAGAACAACAATCGCGCGCCTCCTTTGTCTGCTGGTTTAATGACGAGATATCAATGGTTTCTCAACGCGGGTAGTGCCTGTCTTTCTTTTCTTGATATGTTATTCATACTTGGTTTGTGCACCTTGTACGCATGTATGACATCTATCTGAACTGCGTCTATGTAGAGATCCAGATGTCGATCTCTGTTGGCGTCCGGGGTTCATTGCCGTCTGATTACCCAACGAAAACTTGGGTGATCTTTTTGGGGTTTATTGAAGAAACATTCCTCCAATCGTAAATTTTGCGCAAAGTCATCTAGGCCTTTTAGAAGCGTGAATTCATTGTACTTTTCACACACACACACACACACAGATATATATATATATATATATATATATATATATATATATATATATATATATATATATATATATATATATATATATATATATGTATATATATATATATTGCTATATGAAAAGAAGTTCCGTTCCGTGCCGCAACTCATGAAGTTCATTTTAAAACTGCTGCCACGGGTAGACCAAAGACATTTAAGAACAACCTAATACACTGCTCAAGGAAAAGAAAAAAAATCTATGTTGTTGAACAGCGTAGTTGGCGCAACCCAGCTTTTCTCGTCCGAGAAGCCCAACAAAAACGATAATACCTCCGATACAACCAGGAGCGCCATGAAGCAAAAAACGCTTGCGAAAACATGCAAGTATCGCGCTTATCAGTCGACCAATCTAATCAGCTCTTTGACGGGGACGTTACAAACTTCAATATGTGCAGTGCGTGTAAGAACTTTCTTCTGCCAGTAAAAAAATAAACCAACCATGCCGAACGGACTGTGTTTGGAATTGGTTTCGGAGAAATATGTAACGATATTGGTCGCGGAATCGATCACGGTCTACCATAGCGACCACAAAGCGATTAGTATTGTAATTAGCCTCAAGCTACAATAAAACGTAACACATCCCATCCCCTTCTGCTTGTGTGATATTATATTGATTCATTGAAAATTCACATTCACAGGGAGGGACGGCGGCTTATGTTTTTTTTTTCTTTTAAAGCATCATCCAAAGTGGAGTTACTGTACGTATTACGCTGAGCCCGTATATACATAGAGACTACTGGAAGTCTCCCAAACACTCGAAATGTCTCAATTCCTCGACGTACGCATAGTTCCATAAGGACTACGTCTGTCGACCTGAAAGTACCGACGCACGTTGGTTAGAGAGACATCACGACTTAACATTACTATTCAGTTTAGGAATACGCAATTATCAGATTTTTAACTTCGAAGAAAATCGAATGTGCTTAGAATGGATTGCAAATACGAATACGGCTCACGTTTGCAAAAAAATAAATACAATAAATATTTTCAAAACAGATATGAAGTAAGGTTATCTAAAGTACACAAGAAGGACTGCATATTTCGCGACAGATTTTCAATATTTACACACCCATACCATTCATCGTCCACGCTTCACGCTAATTTGGTGAGTTCGTAAAGTTTTTTTTTTCTTTGAACGCACACATCTGAAGAAATGGTTAAGAGAGTTTAAACAAGGACATTGTTACAGACTTGAACAATATCGTTGGAGTTTGTGGCTACACAAAAATGATGCGTTCGTTAACTCATAAACGAGATTGAAATATCTGGCACTCATTTTTACACGAATCACACATAAGTGAATGGTAATGCGGCAAGACTTTCATGATTTATGTATATATGTGTATACCTTTACCGTGTTGTGGTTACAATGCATGGCGTTTTTTATCGTTGTAAATTTCTATTTCTTGTTTCCTTGCTGTACTGATCAAGCTCTCTACTATGTATAATCCTTCAGTTGAATATACAGATAACCACATCTGCCTGCCTCCTAATTAGCCTGGTAGAGGTGGTTATTTATTTATTTATTAAATTTATTTATTGACTCAATAAATAAATAAATAAAATATTGAATAAATAGGTAAGAGCTCACTACAAGAATGCTATAACAGGAAGCACTCACCAGGAAGTTGGGCAGACCTTTGAGCAGATGGCGCACCTCTTCATTCCAGCTGGTGCGGCCCAGCAGGTGCCTTCCATGTCCTTCGAGTATGAGCTCGCGAATCTCAGCGGGATCACCTTTCTGCAACGCCGCCGTCAGCTTTTCGTTCAGCGCCGTGGATGCATGGGCTGCGAGCGTTTCATTCGAGTTACGTACACCGGATGCATGAAACGAAAAAGAAACACTGCACACCACATGAGCGCCCACAAACCAGTTTAGCCGTTTCAGGTTCAGCGGTTCCAATTTGAATCATCTCTTTTGTAGGCTAGTGAGCGACCAAGTCGCGAGAAATCGGCGAAGCTTTTGCTAAGTCACGCAAGTCCTGAAGCAGTGAAGCTATATGATTCTAATTACTAATCCGGTTGGTTCTTGTCTCTATAGGCCTTAGCTCGGAAATGCAGGTTGTTTCTAGGTTGCTTGTAAGTTCATACCAGGCTTTTGCTGGGTAATGGTAGGTTGTTTTTACGTTGATCCTCTGCGCACAGAGGTCCGAGTTAAGCGACAGACAGGACATGGATGTCCAAGCTCCAGAAACGTGAGTGCGGGGAAACCAAAATGCTAGCGTACGCTACATCGAAGGGTTTCCACGCTTGCTATATATAGTTTCTCTTCAGGTTTTGCAGCATATATTGTGAGGAACCGGTTTATTCGGCCAGGCTCGAGCTCAATCACGCCGGTGATGATATTCTTAGATGAAGAAGATGTACAGGTGATGATGATTACAAAGAGAATAAAGAGTCGTTCGCTTGTCGCGCTCACACTAATTCCCCTGCGCGGTGAAAGCGGCCGCCTGGTCGCTTGACAGTATTATGAAATGCGTCGCGCATAAGGCTTTAAACGAGATACGTGCACTATCTCTGTTCCTCGGCAACGATGATTAGGACTAGCGCTAAGAGGAGAAACGCGGTAATTGACAGGAGATGTCTGTTCGACCACCGTGTATGGCCCAATGAAGCGACTGATGAATTTGTCGCATAGGCCGGGGACGCGTAGTGGAGTCCATAGAAGAACTTCGTCACCAGGGGAAAAACTCACAACACGGCGAGACGAGTCGTAGCGAGATTTTCGAGTGTCTTGAGAGAGGCCGGTGTTAACACGGGCCTGGTTACGGCAGTGTGCGAGACGAGATAGGAATTCTTCAGAGAAAGGAGCCGTCGAGGGTGCAGGGGCCGAAAGGAAAGAGACATCCAGAGCGAAACTCGGCGAGCGACCATGGACGAGAAAAAATGGAGAAAAGCCGGTAGTGCGTTGAGCAGCCGTATTATAGGCGAATCTCACGAAGGGTAGAATTGCATCCCAGTTCGTGTGGTTGGGGTGAATGTACATGGCGATCATGTCCGATAGGGTCCGATGAAACCATTCAGTCAATCCGTTGGTCTGCGGGTGGTAGTAGAAGTGGTCTTGTGAACAGTGTTCGAGGCACGCAAAACTTGCTCGACAATGTAAGATAGGAAGACTTTGCCCCGATCACTGAGGATAATGCGTGGTGCTCCATGACGCAAAAAGATGTGGCGAAGAAAGAAATCGGCGATCTCAGTGGCAGTCCCAGATGGTATAGAAGCTGTTTCTGCGTAGCGGGTAAGGTGGTCGACTGCCGTGACAATCCAGCGATTCCCATTGGATGATATAGGAAGAGGGCCATACAAGTCGATTCCAACGACTTCAAAAGGTGAGGCGGGACAAGGAAGAGGTTGCATTAAGCCAGCCGGAGCAGTTGTCGGTCGTTTTCGCCGTTGGCAATGGAGACAGGAGGCGACGTACTTAGCGACGGCTGAAGAGAGGCCAGGCCAAAAACAACGACTTCGTATTTTGTCGTAAGTCTTGTGGTAGCCTAGATGAGCAGCGGTTGGATCATCATGAAAGGCTTCCAGAACTTCACGCTGCAGGGAACGTGGGATGACGGGTACCCACTTGTTGCCATCGATGTGGTAAACGTAGCGACATAAAGCATCACCGACAAGCTTAAATTGTTTAAGTTGTCGACGGAGTCTGGCGTTTGGAGGAGTAGTAGAGCCGGTCAAGCGGTCAACAATGGTGCGGCAGTATGGGTCGACACGTTGTTGTGAAACAAGGACGGATAGGGTGGCAGGTGATGAACTTAGCGCTGCGATTGGAGAGGTGCTGTTGTATTGGAGTATCGATGGTTAATTGCTTCCGCTGGGCAAAGGACAGCGCGATAGAGCATCACCATCTTGATGCTTCTTCCCAGATCTGTAGGTGACATTGAAATCATACTCCTGTAAGCGAAGCGCCCAGCGACCAAGGCGACCCGATAAGTTTTTCAGCGATGAAAGCCAGCATAGGGCGTTATGGTCGGTCACGACGGTAAAATGACGGCCGTGAAGATATGGTCGGAATCTTTGCACTGCCCAAACAACAGCAAGGCACTCCTGCTCTGTGATAGTGTAGTTCTTTTCTGGAGCGGTAAGAGCACGACTTGCGTAAGCAACGACGCGTTCGCGTGAGTTTTTGTCACGCTGCAAGAGTACCACACCGAGACCATGACTACTTGCGTCGGTGTGAAGGATGGTGGGTGCGGTGGAATCGAAGTGGCACAGTACCGGATCCGACGTGAGGGCTTGCTTCAATGCCGTGAAAGCGCTTTCGCAGTCTTCGGACCAATTGAAGGGGACGTTCTTTGCGGGGAGTTGATGGAGCGGAGACGCAAGTTCCGCGAAATCACGTATGAAGCGCCGGAAGTAAGAAGATAACCCAAGAAAGCTGCGCAGGTCCTTCTGACGTAGTGGACGAGGAAAATCGAGGACAGCGGCAAGCTTCTCGGGGTCGGGCCGAATTCCTTCTTTGCTGACAAGGTGGCCGAGAACCTTGATTGTCTTGCTAGCAAAGGTACATTTCTTGGTGTTAAGCTGTAGACCGGCTTTTGCAAGGCATGTGAGGACTTCGTCAAGACGTTGTAGATGCTGCGAGAACGTGGATGAAAACACTACTATGTCATCGAGATAGCACAGACATGTTTTCCATTTCAAACCACGCAATACGCCGTCTATCATGCGTTCGAAGGTGGCGGGCAAATTACAGAGTCCAAATGGCATCACATTGAACTCGTACAACCCATCTGGCGTTGAAAAGGCGGTCTTCTCTTTACCAGACTCCGACATTGGTATCTGCCAGTAGCCTGACCTAAGGTCGAGGCTGGAAAAATACTCTGCGCCCTGTAATGAATCCAGTGCATCGTCGATCCGAGGAAGGGGATAAACATCCTTGCGCGTTATTTTGTTTAGCGCACGGTAATCGACGCAGAAACGCACTGTCCCATCTTTCTTTTGAACGAGAACAACTGGGGATGACCAGGGACTCGAGGAAGGACGTATGATGTTGCGTCGTAGCATGTCTGAGACGTTTTCCTCGATGATCTTGCGTTCTGCCTGAGACACGCGATATGGACGCCGATGTACAATACGAGAGCCGTCAGTCTGGATGCTGTGAGTAGCGGTGGTAGTCATGCTGAGGGCGGGCGAGTTTACGTCAAATAGAGAACGGTGTCTATTTAACAGGGCGAGCAAATCTTCAGTTTGATGAGGTGTTAAGTCATTGCTTATTGTCGCCGACACAGGTGTGGCAGAGGCATTGAATGGCAATGATTGCGACTTCGGAACATCGTTGTGGTTGTTGTTCGGAAGAGTAACAATCGCAACAGGCTCACTGTCGACCGCGCAAGATACTGTTGAGCCACAGGGGAGCAGTACACACTCGGGCGTTTGATTTATGGCGGTTAGGTACGTACACCCATCGAAGAAGCGAATAAGTCCCGGTGTGATCACAATGCCCCTACGTAGGGTATGACCGTAAGGAAGAATTAGTACGTCGCCATCCACAATGTCGGTGCAATTAACACTTATAATTTCTTCGATGTATGGCCGAAGTACATAATCTGACTTGGTGACAAGGCGGATGCGTCCATCTTGTTCAAGCGGAGAAGAGTCAGTGGCGTTTAGATGCAGGAGGCGCTGATCACATGATATGAAAGCGGACGCAGAAGACAAGAAATCCCACCCAAGAATGAGAGCGTGGGTGCACTCACGAAATACTGCGAAAACAATGTGATGACGAATGCCTTCTATGCAGACACGAACGGTACACTGTGCAAGTGGACGAATGAGAGCGTTGGTCGCCGCACGTAGAGGTGGGCCGCCATAAGGTGTGGTGACTTTTCGAAGGCGGGAACAAAAATCAGCACGAATAATCGAAACGGCAGCGCCAGTGTCTACAAGAGCCTCAACACGTACACCTTCTACAAACACTACTATCAAATTCGATGGCCGCTCTGGAGGAATTGTTAGCTGTCCAAGGGATGCAGTTTCCCCTCCTAAAACTGCATCGGGGAGTTTTCCGCGTGGGCGTTCGTGGAATGGGAGGCGGGCCGTAGAGGCGACACTGAACGGCGACCTGGCGAAGGCGACCCGCGGCGAGACGTACGGGAATTCCCAGGCATGTCCGTATGGTAAGTAGGTGACGGTGAACGGTAATAGGACGATCGGGGGGGGGGGGGGGTGGCCGTAAGTAGTTTATGGTCGGACGGAAGCTTCGATGTTCTTCGGGAGCGTAGCCGCGTTGCTCATCTTGTTGGCGCCTTCGACAAAACCGAGCGATATGTCCTCGATAGCCGCAGTAGTAACAGGTTGGGCGAGGTGGGCGCTGCTGAGGTGCGTAGTAAGGTGGTGCACGCACTGGCGGTGATAACGAAGCCACAGGCGTATGGTCTGCTGTTGTAGGCACGGAAACGGTGGGTGCGGCAGAGAGTGCGGCAACTTCGGCGTACGTGCGCGTCTGGCGCACGCAGGGACTGTTGGAACACGTCGCACGCGATGCGGAGGCGATCTCTTGTTTAATCAGGTCTCGCAAGCTATCTTTTTCAGGAGGTGAAGTAACTTCCGCAGCACAGGAAGAGCAGCGCCCGTGCAGCTCTTCACGAACGATGTCGCGAATAAGCGCACGCAAGTCGAGGGGTGCAGGCAAAGGAACGTCGGTGGCATCGTAGCAAAGGCGAAGAGACTGAAGCTCGTCAAGTCGCTGACAGATGGTTATCACGTCCTGGGTGGTGGCAGGATTTTGCGTGGCGAGGGCGTTAAAGGCGACGGTGTTAATGCCTTTAATAATGTGGCGTATT